CTATAAACATGCTTTAATTTTTTTTTTTGTGAATCTAAAATAAATCTATGCTAGTCACTTAATTTCATTACTTGTACATTTAAGTTCATGTTTAAATGGAATAAATCAATACATTTAATTTACGCTTTAATCTTTTTAACAACTTTCAATACAACTTTAATACTAAGAGCTCCTGCTGGAAGTCTACCTTTGTAATTTTAGTAAGCAAACCTCCCTACTCAACAAACTTACACATTAAACTGGTCAATAATTCGGACATGAAATCTTCATGACATAAGTTTCCTTTGTTGTTTTACATTCGCAATCTATTTTATTCATTATTAGTTAACTAAGGACTCATACTGTATTTTAGGCTAGAGTGCTTTTCGTCAGTTCTCCTGGCCATGACATAGGCAGGTAGGTAGCTGTTTTAGTTAATTCATATTGATTATAATAGTGTCGTTCCTTGTGGGTGGCCCGTAAGAATGTTCTAAACCTTCAAGTCATTTTAATTGGATACATTTTTGTCACTATTACACTTTGACTGCTTTCTCTTTTTCTCCGTATTAGCAGCCAAACAGTATCTTGTCTGTTATTCCACTATTCCAAAATCGATTTCACCTAATACCATTCCATTTCTAATAGCTGGTAGAGCTAAGCTGAATCGTGTTGTTGCTCTGATATTCTTATTACACTGTTTCAGCAAAATATCTTGCTATTGTATGATTGGATACGTCTTTACAAGCTAGTAATGCAGTTCATCTGTATTCCCATGATGCCTTCTTGGGCTTTGGTGGATGGTAAATGTGTATCCATACATAAATGTAACCCCCCACAAGTTATTATGTTTTCTGGGTATTTAAAGTTAATCAGTCATTGAAATAGCCATTATCCTTCCCAAAGTAGCAAAAAGTACGTTTTTGTTAATTAAGATAGTGGAGTATTCAGTAAGTAAAAATAAGCCACAAAATGTTTGTAGTAAGATGGTGCGAAATATCTCACATTACGTCTGAATCAAGGCATATTACTTTGGATTAATTTTCAGACTAGCAATCAACAGTTTTTCCATACGAAACCTGAACTGACTGGACATATGAAAGGCAAGGTCATGCTAGAAATATACTTAAAACTCACAAATTATCAGTTGTAGAGGAGCACTAGCTAGTAAAGATCTTCCCAAATATCAACATAGAATTCAGATAAGCAGACAGTGTATCAACTGACGCCCACGGACAGCTAAGTATATCAGTCATTCGAGAATGGATGGAAAGTTTTAAGAACCAAGGAAATACCATGAACCTATATACCACTCATGATTGCTGTAAAATTAACTTTAGGTTGGTTAGCTTCAGTCTTATTTTAAAACAGGGTTATGAAATAGAAGTATGCATCCTCAATGAGAATTCAAAGACTGCCTCACCCTACCATCATGCATAATGAAAAATAATGATACTATACTCAGTTCTGAGAAAACTAAAAAACAAACAAACAGAAAACAAACAGTAAACTTCACATTATAAAAACAGTCCAATACATTACACAACTTAGGAAAGGGGTGTTGATATGCATGAGTACATTATTGTTGTTTTTGATAAACAGCTAGATCGAAGATTCTTTGGATTTAAGTACACCCATGCCTAGTTATAAACTACTGAAAGAGACATATAGTAACATCACTGCCAAAATAACTCTGTCCAAGTCTCTAAAGCGAACGACGAGATTGGCTGTTACTTTTATAACGTATTCACTGCTGAAAGTATAGGGCATGTTCAACACCTTCAAGCCTTGAACCCTGACAAAGATGTGAATGGTATTGGGTTTTCATTGCATAAATAATTTTGTTTAAATTTTACAATTAGAAGTTGCAAGTTTTATGATAAACGTGGTCTCTTAATGTTATTATTTGAGTTGTGTATTAAAGACGTAAACAATAATCAAGCATAGCCTTCCAGGATATCTGAAATTAATCATTGCAATAATTACTTAAAATATATTTTGTTTATTTGTTATTAAACACATAGATATGTAATGAGTTATATGTGCTGTGCTCGTTACGATTATTCGAAAAACCCGGTTTTTAGCTGTTTGAACTCTCAGGCTTACCGCTGAGCCAGTGGGGGATGCGGGTGTGGGCAAGAGTATATTTATTAATACAGATAAGCTTCTAAGCAAGAATTATAATTGACTTAGACTAACCATATGAAAATACATTTAAAATTGGATGATGTACAAGCTAAACGATATTTATATCATCGCTCACGTTACTCTTAGATTTGAAGACTGTTCAATGAGTGCAGGATCAGCTTTAGTTCTCTTGGTTGCTTTCCATAACACAAGTAGGCTTAACCTCAGAGTAAGTTCGAGTATATTAGCTGCTGAAAAATAAGGAAATCTGAGCTTTTTTTGATGTTAGTTTAAAAGCAGGTGGGCAGTTTTATCATTTAACAACATGAAGTGTGTATGTGTGATTAGTGAAATCTTAGAAAAAATTTAATTGCTTAAAATAAGATAGATTTGAGCCATTTTCTGAATTGGATCTTGTTGGATGAATGTAAAATGAGAATTAAATAAAATGGACATGAGGAAAGATGAAAAAAATATTAATAAAAAGATGAAATTCACTCAAACTTATTAAAACATAAGTAGAAGAATC